GGGGGTTTAATGAGAACACAGTATATGAATAACACAGGCAAATAGCGATAGAAAACCAGTAGCAGTGACAAGACATTTCACTTGGGAAACATGCATAGGACAGTAGCATGGCATGTGTGTATCATATTCCGCCTTTCAACTCTCAATCATTTTTGGGTGGTTGACTTTTTTTCCCAGGGGCTTGTTGACTGGTGCGGATTGGACAGGTGGCATAGCATGGAGAAGAGCTGGCCATTTACCAGCCAATAAAAATAGCTGTGGTCTCCATGATGTCACCGGTGAGTAAATCATTGCTCCTGACTGTAGAGGGAGAAATAAAACAAGATAAAAAAGGAGGGGCTGTGTGTTTTTTTTTACCTGTCTGTGTGTCTTTTTTTTTTAGTTAATCTAATTTCACACTACACTGCTTTTTGTCTTCTTGCTTTCACTCCAAACCTGTATCACTTTTCTGCACGTCTTTCTCTGCACGTGTTCCTACCTTTTTTGTCACGTCTGCATGTTCCTTAGTTTGTAAATCTATACAACCAGGAAGCTGTTAAAAGACCAGAGAACAAAATAGCTCGTTCCCCACACCAAACCCCAATAACACTGCCATCTTCAGCCAGTCACACCGGCTGCTGTTGCCAGAAGGGGTGTACAAACTAAAGCCGGAGTCTGATCTCACTCTCATACCTGGCATTCTGAAGCCACAACACCATGCTGCCGATGTGAAACCTGACCAGTCGTAAATCTTCTCTGTTTGACCATGTGACATGCCAAATTTGTGATTCTACCCTCGGTCCACCCTCCGCATCTCTTTCCCTCTGCCCGCTGCCACCCATAGTTCCCTTCTAACGGCAGCCCCCTCTGTCACACTGAAGCAGGAATGTCAGGCAGGAAGGTGACAATCCCCCTTTCCAAGTTTCTGTGTGCATCTTTCATGTGTTTTTATGCGTTCCTTTGGCTTTATATCTGTGTGAGTTTGTATGCAAGTGTGTGAATTTGTGATTGTGTGTGCATAACTCCAGTGACCCAGTGGCAGCATGGCGGCAGGGTACCCTCAGTAATAGGATGTTAGGAATGTAACACTTGTCAGCCTCTCAGAGGATGCTGTTAATTCACATTCCGTCTGTTTCAGGGGGTGAACCTTGAGTATGTTTACCTGTGTAGAAGCTGTGTTGTATGAAATGAAGTGTGCAAATTGCTCCCTTGCATTAATGAAATTTGAGGTTCGGTTTATGTGTCAGCTTTTTATTACACAATTTCCCAGACAACTTGCATCCCCTAAAGGTACCATGCAGGAATCATAACCAACAGAACCAGTAATAGCAAGACCAGTTCAGTGTTTTTGCATGTCTACAGTACTGTAAATTTCAGTACGGCTTCAAAAAATCAACTTGCATGGATGTGAAACTTGCTTGAGAAAGCATTGGAGTTAAAGGCAAATCAGTCAACATGGATCTTATAAAACAATAACAGAATTATTTTGAATGACATGAATACATGAATGACATGAAATAATAATAATAATAATACATTTTATTTAAGGCGCCTTTCTCGGCACTCAAGGACACCATACAGGGATGCAAAAACATTTAAAAGCAGCAAAACTAGAAAACAGAACATTAAAACAAGCTAAAAGCAAAAAAAAATTTTCATCAAATGAGGTAGGCAGTTTTAAACAGATGTGTTTTGAGTTGCGATTTAAAATGGGAGAATGAATCGATGTTTCTAAGTTATGGTGGTAAACTGGGGAGCAGAGCATTCAGCCGCTCTACTCCCCATTTTGGTGAGACGAGCATGGGGGACAGACAGGTTTATGGAGGAAGAGGATCTAAGGGAGCGGGTGGAAGTTGGACCCTGCAGGAGATCAGACAAATACGGAGGGGCAAGGTTGTGGATGGCCTTGAATGTTAACAGAAGGACTTTGAATTGGATACGGGACAGGACCGGGAGCCAGTGAAGCTGTTGGAGAACAGGAGTGATGTGGTGGATGGAGGGTGTTCGAGTTATGATGTGGGCAGCTGAATTCTGGACCAGTTGAAGTTTATGAAGATATTTGTGAGGGAGGCCGAAAAGGAGAGAGTTGCAGTAGTCCAAACGAGAAGTGACAAGATTGTGATTTGTGAGATGGAGATAGGCAGACCGGGTAATGTTATTGATGTGGGACTGAAAAGATAAAAGAAAGCCATGAAAGACACTTTGAAGAAAAGAAACATTACCATTAACCGAAGTGCAATGTAACAATTAAGACCAGGAGAAGACAATTAAATGTTTCTCAATATACCAAATCCCAGATGTTATCTACTTCACAATAAAATAAAGATTAAATGTTTTCTGTGATCCCTATCAGATCTCGTGTGACTAAACGTTGCTTTTCAAACTGTGCTGCCATGAATTGAAACTGATGACAATGTAAAAATGCATTAATCAATGTTAAAACTAAGGCCTAGGTATGCTGTGGAAAATGGCTGGCAGAAGTGTAAAGTGTCCATGATTTCTAATAAATGAGCATAAAATTCTTTATTTATATTTAACTAACTTCTAGACTCAAAGCTCTGGTATCCTGGGCCCTGGTGGTCTGTGTGGACAATGAGGGAGTTGTTTTAGGGAGAAAATAGCCACACACTTGCACATTCTATGACAGTAGATTTATCACCAACATTTGTGTAGAAGGATAAATGAGCCAAACCTGTTCATATGTGGTCCTTTGTGTGTGTGTGTGTGTGTGTGTGTGTGTGTTTCGTGTGTCAGTGTTTCCGATGACACTTAGCGATGATTTTGAACAGCTGAGATGAATTTGTGTGGAACTGGACAACGGGGCAGCTGTACATCTCTGTCTTGGATAATACACATACACACACACACACACACACACACACACACACACACACACACACACATTGATGCATATAAACAACAGTGGAATCCTAAGGTCCGACCCCCTTGGGACAAAGCCAGACTGAGACCTTAATAAAGGCCTTGTTGTTTCAGGAGGTAGCTTATATGGTTTCAGGTTCATATCTCAACAAGCCCAATTTTACAGACCAACACCATAAGCTTGCTGATTGCATTATCCTGATTTGCATTTATACATGATTCTCCAATTTTTTTATACATTAAGACAATTTCACTTTAATATTCATGTAAAGGGCTGATAAAAGTACATGTGTGTGCATATGTATTTAATGTACTCAGGTATTTGTAGCATAAGTATAAACTATTAATGGTGGTGTTGCAATGCGAATAGTGGTCTAAATAAAACCAGGTTGCCATTACCACCTCAACTGGCCCTGCAACATCTCAGCCAATGAGACACTTTGCCTGGTCAGACCTCTTTTGAGAGAGGCGGGGCCTAGATGTGTTGCAGGGTCACAAGGAGTGATGTAACCTGTGTTTATTTTCAGCGTATACACGTAAATGTAGACACACAGATACCTCCACGCACACTTGCACACAGACACACACACACACACACACACACACACACACACACACACACACACACACTCACACACACATGTAACTGTAGACTCCTGCACATACTGTTCCATACATGCAAAGATTTTAGCATACACAGTGTAGTATCACTGACAAACACAAATGTGCCGACTGACTTAGTTTTGGATTTTGGGATCTCTCTTATGTGTCTGTAAGCTGGTTGTCTCTCCTATCCTCTTCCTAGGTTGGTGACTCGATGACAAGTGCTGCAACGTGTATGTGCACACGCACCGTCATTGGAACACCTAGACACACACACACACACACACACCTAACTGTCAATAGGGGTGGCTGTTCCAGGGGGAATACAGAACGATTAAACAGAAAAAAAGGTGTGTGTATCACTAAGGAAGACCAGTGGGAGAGAGAGAGAGAGAGAGGCAGAGACAGAACGACAGACAGAGACACAGAGAGAAATTTAGTCATGGCCATTAATACTAATAGTGGCCTCCCTTCCCTTCTGTCAGCTGCAGCTGTTGATCACGCTGGTGTAACATTGAGCTTTCTAGCATTGCATCACTCTCTTTCTCCCTGACTCCACTTCTGTCCTGCGTTACCCTGCATGTACATGGATCTTGTAGCCCATATTGCACATCATTCTGCAAGGGTAATGGTCTGAAGTGGGATTAGTGCCGCAGTAATGTTAAGATTGGTCTGCTTGAAAAGTGGATTTGCACACTTAAACTCTTCATTCAAAATGGAAACACTGCTGTACTGAGGCAATATATACAATACTGTACAATTTACAGTATTATATTGCAGTGCTATGCTGTAAAATCATCTTATCAAAACAGTGATGCAAGGCAAGGTGAGAAGTGAGAAATATACAGTGTAGAATGTTAGCTTTATCCACTGCAATTGAAGAGCATGTTGGATTCATTAGCATGCCAGTAACCTGCCACTAGTTATTCATACTATGTGTGATGTATACATAGCAAGACGTTGGTCATGTTCTCCATCTAGAGAACGCAGCAGAGGGACGATGTAACTTCCTGAGGAGCTCGTCCACTCGCATACATCAGAGACATTCCACCTCATCTGACACTCGTCCATGGAATTCAGCAAATTTTCCACACTATTCTACCAGGCACACAGGCAAGTGCCTGTCAAAAAGACTGGCATGCCCAAACATCAGGCACCTGTAAAACCTTAAAACAAGAGAAATAAGCTGCACTTTCTGGAGAATACATCTTTTCAAGTTTAATCTTTTCAAGATGCTTTTTGGGGGGGCATTTTGTACATGGATGCACGATGAAGATGATGTTCCTCCCTCTGTGGTGTTTGTGATTGTCATCGGGTATGTTTGTGTGTGTGTGTGTGTGTGTGAAAATATCTTTTTGTTTGCACTGCGGATAGGTGATAATTTGTCATAGATTTGTGCAGAGTCCCTTTCTCCTCTATGTTGGTATGACCAGTGTATGCAACCTATAGTTGACACTTATGTGTAATTCTGGGAACACACTAAATACTTCAGATGACTTGAGGGTTTACTTGGCAACCGATGGCTGTTTTAAGACCATGGATACACTTTCAGCTTGGACAGAGCACAAAGTTTTCAAGTATCCATTCAGTACATGGAAAGAAATAAAAAGTCACTGAATCGCATGCATCATGTGCTCATTGTTGTGTGACTCGTTATTAAGCTCAATGACTTCATCCAAATCTATTTGTGTAACTGGATGACATTCTATCTAACCTTTATTTTACACCAGGATGAAGCAGTTGTGGGCCCATAATTAGTCACAGGTTGTTTCCAGGTTTTTCAGTTTTGCCTATGTTTTGTATTTGAATGGACATTTTGCAGTCCCAGACTTCGGACCTCATTTACACATTTACTTTTGACAACTATACACTTTTAATGATTACAGTTTTTAGCCTATTCATTTTTAAAGGAAACTATCCGTTTTGCTAGGGTGCAATCAATAATCTGCTATAGACGTTGTATTGGGAGTGTTGGTGGTGATGTGGGGGAAGGAAGCTAAAGGTGGGAGGGGTTGACATAGAGATGTACAGGACAGGACACCCTCATGCTTGCTCCATAAACCTCACCACATTTTGCTCCCGCAGCTGTTGTGGCGCACACAGGGAGCGGAGAGGTGCGTTCCTTCTGGGCTGACTATGTCGAGTGTGGCAAGGGCTTTTTCGCACTGATCAGCGATCACCGAGCCCGTTTCTCTTCGGCAAAAAACCCCCGGAATGTTATCACTCTCTCTCTCAGCAAGGTCGGTTTCCACAGAACAGTGAAGACACCGCTCATTTACCATGAGCTGTTTGGATGTTATGTACCCAGCCTATGGACATTACGCACCGTACGCACCGACTGGTCCTGCTTTTATCAATAGCTTACAGGTAGGAAGTAAGCAAACATTTAAATGTTTTTTTTTTCTTATTTTCTTCTTATCTACTTATTTCACGTGTTAGGGGATCGTTGAGGTGGGGAACAACTATTTGGCTAGTTTATGCAGCTTGTGCGTAAAAGCAAATAACGTGATGGGGAAGAAACCGTTAAAGTTGTTTACATGCTTTTAAGTAGGCTATTCCTTTGATTTAATTCCTCATTTTCGAACATCTACATTGTCAGTTCTGCTGTTTGTGTCTTACCAAACACAGAAGTCTTCTGCACCCACACAACTCGTATCTTGAGACATGCACGCTTGGTCGCGCGCACGCACACACGTAACAGTGCTGCCACACACAAAGAAAAACATTATGTCGAAGTATCTCATAGACAGCTACAGAACTGTCCTCTGCAACACCTGTCTTAACCCTCTCCCTGCTTCTCCCCGCCTCTCCTCTAACGCTCCCCCCAACCCCCGCAGGCTCCCACAGGTCTGAGCAGAACTTCTCTTGACTGCCGGGATTTTATGGATACTCCCAGGGGTCCCGAGGGGATGTCTGGGGGCCCAGGCACTGGAGGATCAACTTCCTCCTCATCTTCATCCAATTCGTCTTCTACCTCCTACACACCGGCGGTTTTAAGGCCAGAGGAGGGCCCCAAGGAGAAGCAGGAGCCCCCTGAGGCGGAGTACCTGACTTCTCGCTGTGTCCTCTTCACCTACTACCAGGGAGACATCAGCAGCGTGGTGGACGAGCACTTCTCCAGGGCCCTCAGCTCCTACATGGATGGAGAGGGCAAACGGCGGGCTTCAGACCAACAGGGCACAGGTATACCACATTGTCCATACATAAAAACTATTTATACAAAGGTGCATACCTGTCCTTGTGTGTGTATACACTGTGTGTATATACTATAATTACAGAAAAATATGGTCTTCAATAATAGTAATGGAAACACAAACTTAAGTAAATCCAGTCCACTGTGTGAACATAAAGAAAACAACCACCATTGTATTTTTCAAAATCATTAATCCATAATTTTTCATAAAAATAATTAGGGACCCAATCTGAATGTTGTTCCACCAGTTAAGCTCATTTACTGCCATCTTTACAACAAATTTGTTTTGCGAAGATTGCCGCCAGCCTGAAAAAGGTTGAGTAAACTGAGTTTAGGTTGAAATTGCCCTCCACTACATTCCTGCAGTTTCATCATTTCCACTTATTTATGTGAGCATAGGTACCACAGTTGTCTGTGTGGGGCCTTGTGCCTGCTTTTGAAGCCACACAGGGTGAGCTGACAGTTCTGCAGAGCACAGAAGAGCATCAGACAGGTGATGTGATCAGGTGACCGGACTGAAAAGCTGCTTGTTGGGACTGTTGTCCCTGGAGAGGTCACAAAGGTCAGGAGCTGTTGGGAGTCAAAAGGGACTTTTGACTCTGGTTAGGGTGACAATTTAAAGACAAGCAAGAGAGAGCATGCACATTCAGATTTTTCTAGGTTTTGGGGTGAAAAATCAGGAATCAAAAAATTATTTTCTTTTTTCTTAAAAGCAAAAAAACATACACAAATTCCATAATTACTATTCTGAAAAGCATCAAATCATTTTTAAAATCAGCAACATTATTAGGAGTTTATATTGTTTTGCTTTTTCTTTCATTTTGATGCACAAAAATGCAAAGTAAAAATTAGTAATTTTCAAATCTTCTAGAGACACAGAAGTCCCTTTCTACCAGCAGCTTGCAGATGTCCTTTGGATATCCATGTAGGGCCTACAGCTTCTACTCTTTCCCTCTCTCTGATGTCGCTGTTAGTCTCTTTCCTAGTTCAGTCGGAGGTCTTCATTTCGGCACTAACACACGCTTCCTGCCTCACAACAGATGCTATGTTTATACATGGCCGTAAGCGCGCAGCCTCGCCGGCGTATCCCCTTCAAACGTCTCTGCGGCTGCCATTCTGACTCTCGCTACAGCTCCTGCCCCACAATGGTTGCACAGTCAGTTGCCTGCTTGCCTGTCAGATTTATATATGCTGTGGTCTGTGTGATAGGGGAAGAGGGAAACACTACCTCTCAGGGTGTTGCATGGTGTCTTTTTTCAGAGGAATATCTAAATATAAAAGTATACTGCTAAAAACATATAATGGCTCGCTGACATTCTGTCAAGGGCGAGGAGAGGGGGGAGCAGAGAAAACAACAGGTGGGGGTGCAGGAGACAGAAAAGAGGGGTGGCGGGTGCTAGCACAGGGCCAGAGTTGCGTGTCTGAGTGAGTGTGTGTGTGTGTGTGTGTGTGTGTGTGTGTGTGTGTGTGTGTGTGTGTGTGCGCGTGTGTGTGTGTGCATGAGTGAGCTGTGAGACTTTCAGAAGTACTGGGCTGACATGAGAGTGAGAGATGTCACCACAGCGAGTGATATAAGGCTATGTGAGCCTTGGGCTCCCTCCAGGTCAGAGCGTCTGCCTTATATAGAATTGTAGGATATAGGGATGTCTCTCTTTCTACCTTTCTCTCTGTCACTCTCTCTCCCTCTGTCTGCTAGAACGTGGCTGTGTTTATTTCTGTGTCTTGTTGGGGCTAGGGCTGTGTGACACTATGATCCAATGGGGAAGATATCTGGGCCAGCGGGTGTAGCAGTCATGTGAATGACATCTACGTTTTAGCAGGGGTTGCTCCTGTTGCACAGCTCCAGCTTTTCCATTTGTCTCTGTAAATCAAGTGATTCACTACTTCAGTTGTGCAATAGTTCTTAACTTGGCCTAAATTGTATCATCGTTTATCCTCCTTCCCCCTCTCTACCTCCCTCCCCCATTAGATACCCCTTCACCTAGCAGTCGACGAAGCTTCCCCCCATCCTTCTGGGACAGTAACTACTCCTCGCCTCAGAGCCGCTCCCACTGTGAAACCGGTGCGCCTTCCTATTCCATGGACCCATACGCATCTGGGTTGCACCCGGGCCTGCCGCATCCACATGCTCACCCGCACCCACACGCTCATCCTCACTCCCACTCTCACCCACCAGAGAGCTGGGGATATCCCCAGGCCCAAGCCTACGGACCCCCACGGCCTCTCCATGAACTGTATTCACCGTCGGCTTTGGAGCCCCACTATGGGGCCCTGCTCATGCCCACGGTGAGGCCACCTCATCTTCCTACCTTGCCAAGCCACTATGAAGTGAGCAAGCTGGAGCCCACTGCCTCCTGGCCCAGCCTGCTTCCCCCAGGAGATGTCAGCCAGACACTGGCACTCAACATGGATGCAGGTACCCACTCAACCAGGCTGTCAGGCTTTTGCAAATACTTTATGGACAATCCAAGTGTTTCTTTATTAACAGTTTATAAAATATCTCTAATCAGATTATATACGAAGATAAGAAAATGCAAAGAAATACACTCAGACATCAGTGTAGACAAATACAAATGGCAAGTTCAGATTATACATGGCTACAAAAATATGAGAAACAAATACATTTTTTCTCTACTGTTGAATGTAATGAGCACGATTGTAATTCTGCAGCGTATCGATTTAGCTTTTTAGTTGCTAAAAACATTTTGCCCAAGGTATTCTGAATTATGTGTATTGATCTTATTCAATCAAACACAGAAGAACACGTGTCTTCTGACAACCATTCACACAAACACACACACTCTTGCGCACACGTTAACTTTCAACCCTTACAATACCCTTTGTTGGAAACACATGCACAGATGCATTCACTTGTGTTGTAGACTGCCATAGACACTCCTACGCATAATGAAACACACACACACACACACACACACACACACACACACACATCATAATCCTCACAGAAGCTCTCTTTCCCCCCCTCTAAAACATGATGTTTAGCAAAAGTAGGCTCCATGACAACCTGTGTTCTGTTGTTCGCCGTTGTCCTCCTCATTGTTTCCTTGTCCTTTTTTCTCAGGCCTCCAGCAGCACAAGAAAGGCAAGGAGCTGTACTGGTTCTAACGAGCCCTTCAGTCACATTGACCAGCCATTACTAGATCCAATTAGTCCCTGGACCTGCTCTGCTATTGAAGCAGCATGTCCCTTTATCCCGCCACACACTCCATCCCCGTCTATCCACCCCCTTGTTTCTGCTCCTGGCCTCCCCCTGCCAGCATACAGCCTTGCTCCAGGTCGACGTGTGTGCACCATGGAGATAAAGCAGAGAGAGGGAGAGAGAGAGAAAGAGGGGGAGAGACACTGTCTATAATCTGTGCTGTTGCTCTCTCTTTCGCATCTCTCTTCCACTCTCTCTCCTGTCGCTGCCGGTGCAGCACAGACCTTGGCAAGGTATGAGCCACAGTGACCTGTTTGGACTGAGAAAGACAGGATCACAACAGACATTTGCAGAGGACAGAGAGATAGAGGGATGAATGGAGGGGCAGAGGGATGAATAGTGGCAAGCAGGGATTCCCTCCAACGTCCCTGGTTATCTCTGTCTCATGTTCTTGGTGGTTGGTACAGTGGTTGTCATCATCCACTTATCTGCATTTCACAAATGCAACATGCAGCGATAAACAGGAGCAGCAATTATGGTGGTTTATGCTTTGTTACTGTCATCATGATGCCTTTTTTGGGTTGTTGTTATATAATTTTGCTTTCTGAAATAAATGGTTTCTATTTATTGGTGTTCATGTGCATTTCTAAAATGTTTGGTTAGGCCAGTTTTCTGAAATGATTGTGATTCAGTTTATTGTGTTTTCTAAAGACAGGAGGCGGAGATGGCCACACCATGTGTTTTTGGTGGAGCTTCTCATCCATCTATGAAGGAATAAAAACATATCAAAAATGTGTTAAATTCATTAACTATTTGTTTATCCTAAACAGACTCAAAGATTGTGTTCTTTAAATGTAACAATGTTGTTCCATTTTAGTTCTTTATTTCTCTGTGTCATTCTTAGATGTTTTGGAATTTGGACTTTCTAAGTTTTTTTGTGTGTCATTTCTCATTTTTGTGTCCAAGAACTTTGTGAGGTCAATAAATATTTTTATGGCAAATCTCCTAAATGTTTACCTTGTATAAATACTATCTGAGCCCCTACTAAGTTTAAGGACATTGTAAGTATAACTAGACAGAGATAAATAAATACTTCCAGTGGACAAACACAAATATTAGCTTCAAAAAATGTGTCACCATATTGATGGAGGCTTTTAGATCAAATTATGATTTGACACACTGATATATAGAGTGTGATGATATTTTAGTAGCTGTGTGAATCCTGGAGACAGTAGCACAGCCAGATGTGACCTACGCTGTGCAATGTGTCTTATTTAAAAGGCCTTCCATTTGAATTCCTGCTTGCATTCACACTTTGTCACCTATAAAGTGGGAACGAGTGGTGAATGCCAGCAATGTGTAACCAGAGAAGAAGGCAGCCATCCCAGCTATGCCCCAAATGTTGCTGTGTTATTGATCCGATAATCAGATTATGTGCTAAGGTATGCCAGTCTGGGCCACTGTCACAATTTAGCGGCTGTTATGTGTGACCCCCACTAGAGAGCAGCCAACTATGTGATTGGCAATAAGCTGAGGAAACATGTAGAGTAATGAAATTAGAAGAGTTTACCAGGGATAGCGTTCACACTAGTATTGTCACTGGGCCTGACGGTTTCTTTTTCACACCGGATCCTCCAGGATCTACTCCACATTAGTATGCACCCACAGGTATTGTCACACTGTATTACTTAAATGTCAATAAACTCCACATTAAGTACATGTGAGGGGGTGTTTACTTATGAACAGACCACTGTATAAACACAGCCTAAGGAAATGCTGCCCTCTCCTGCTGGGTTTATAACACTGCATAAGCCAGATAAGAAATGATTAAGGGTCAACCATAAGTCACTTACTCCACATTGACTAGTTGGGCCAAAATTGACATATGTTGAGTTTTTAGCCCTTGAATCTGTGAGAGGTATACTGTCCTACAAAGGCTGAAAACAGTAACTACGGAAACACTGAAGTTGATGGAAAATGGTTTAAAGTTTAGGCTTTATTTTATGCCATTAAAATCATTTTCATAGGACCCACATAATACTCTTATAGTATTATGAAAACTGATCTACAAAGAAAACCTTTCTTGTCTATTTTATCCACAAACACATTATTTTGAATATTTACAGTAGAGCTATCCTAATCAATTAATCATTTCGAGATTAGTTCTTTTGACTGTATAATTGCCAAACATGTTCTGGTTCCAGCTTCTCTAACATTAAGCTTTAATACTTTTCTTTGGTGAATATCATTGTAAATGGAATATATTTGGGTTTTAGACTGTTGGTTGAACAAAACAAAAAATTTCTCTGGGAAACAATGACAGGCATCTTTCCTTATTCCTACAATTATTGACTAAATACAAGGTACAAGGTACAAGGTTGTTTATTAGTCATTATACAGCACAAGGCTGCACAACGAAACAAAATTTGTAGTTCCTTCATGCTACACACACACACACACACACACACACACACACACACACACACACACACACACTATATACAGTTATTAATAGTTACACTAAATCAGTGGTTATCAAACTGTTTCTAGTTAAGGACCCCTAAACAAATTAGACCACATACCCCCATCTGATAGGATTTTTTCTTTTAGATGTTTTATAACAGAAAGTTTATGCAACCCATGACCAAAATAGTCGTATGTGTTTTCATTGTGTTACTTATGGATGGAATGTATAGTGAAAATAAATTATTCCCCTTTTTGCTGGGGACCCCCTGGAGCCCCCTCAAGGACCACTGGGCATCCCAGACTCCACTTTGAGAACCACTGGACTAAACAACTAAACGAGTAATTGAGAAAATAATTGGCTTATTGTCACCTTATTGAAAATGGTCAGTTGTGACACTAATTTCGTCATTTATAAAGAACAACCAGGGTAAAGCAAGAAAATTTAGCTTTAGCTTTAGCTCAGGCTAGCTGTGGTTTTATCACCAGCTAGCTATTGGGTTCCTGCTTTAGCTGTCTAGTTGGCTGTTTGTCTGTGGTAGCTAAGAGCAGTAACTGCAATGACCATGCCAGAGAGCAACGGTTTGGACCGGTTTTAGCTCTGTTTTGTTAAAGCACATTAAGCTGTTTTCGCAGATATTATAATTTTATTTTATTCAGTAAAACATATGTAAAATGTCTGATTCAGGTCTTAACTAAATTTTGACCAAATGCATTTTGCTTTTAGAGCAATATAGTTTAAAATCAAACTTACAAACATCTAACCAATAGTACAGGAAGTAAGTAAGTGAGGTTTTAGAAATGTTGAGCAGGTGCATGTGGCTGTCTTCCAGTTGGGGACAGAGCAGTAATATTTGGAAAATGCATGTGTATATATTATAAGCATGAGTCTGTGTGTCTATTTGATTTTGAGCTAAAGTAGTTTGTAGGAAAACCACTATGGTTTCCCCATGGAACGTACCTTATAGACTTTGATAAAGGGAAGTGAGCCATACCAGTTCACAACATTAACCGGCATTTTCTTAGAACAGCTGATTCACCCCGCTGTGGTGTAATACATATTTTACAGTAAGACAAACCCTAAGTACATTTGCATTCCACATCAAAGCAGTGGGTAAATTAACTGGTCATAGGTCAAAGCCACATGATGCAGGAGGCAGATTCACATTCAGAGCAATTTGTCTGATCACAACTAGGAGAAATTGAATTAAGAATCAGCTTAAGAAATATTACCTAATTGCATACTATGTCTGAAATTAATCAATGTTGAAATCATAAACTGTAGTTATTCCATCTTCACTAAATACTGTGCAACTGACTCCAATCTTTTTACAAATCAACACTCTGACCTAATGACCGACTGTTATACTCACCTCCATTTCAGACACATTGCTTAGTTGTGTATCCTCTGCCCTGCAATTCATATAGTTAATGTTTCATTTCCAGAGCTATAACCTAACTGTCATAACTGCATGTGCCAGCTGAATAAAAAATAAAACACAATGGCATGCAACCAAAACATGTGGTATACAATATGGAAGTCATGGTGGAAATAGGAGAAAACCTTTTTTTCCTCTGTGCAGTTGGTTTCTGTTTTGTTTAGGCAGAAACAAACAACTTGTCAGGCTCTACACACACATTGCACAGGTAATTGTAAATCTAGGTGTGTACCTTGCATCTCTTCCTTTAAGATTTTTTTTCAATACCATGCACACAAGCACACACAAACATTGATCTATGAACTGTGGAAGATTTCCTATGGTATTTGTATCATGTTGACTCATGGACCCATGGTATCAGTCTTTATGCCTGTGAAGTTGCACTTGACATCATAGTTTTACAATAAAGCCAGCATTTCCCATCATCTACATTACAAAGGATCACACGCTTGCTGATCTGTGTTTGTGTAGCTTAAAATAGAGAATCACTTAGTTTCAGTGTGAAACTTGAGCTCAGTGAACTTAAAAGTTGGTGATACATTTACTTACCGTGCTGTGCAATTTTGAGGTACTTTCTACTACTTTGTACTTCCACACCACCACATTCACCTGACAGCTATAGTCACTACTTTTCACATTAAGATCTTACATTAAAAAACAGCAAATAAACACATAATAAGCTTATGACATAACCCTATAAAAAAAGCAATGTCTAGTTGGGGCCCCTCCTCACATTTCTCACTGTCTCAAATGGTTTCATGAAAAGAACTGTTCAAGGATCAACAAGGTAAAAGTATTCAAAATTGTACAAAAAAAGGATGAGAGACAAGTGCAGAGATTAATACAAATTTGGGTCGGAGAAGTTTGTTTTTTCTTCTTTCCTCTCTCATAAATCATCACACGACCTTTCAGATTCATCATGTGACTCTTTGGAGGGCCACAATTAAACTTAACTGGATTAAACTATGGTACCTAACTGGATATATCAAGCCAAAGATAAATTAGCTCCACCTTGACCAGCCACAACATACATATTGTTGCATCAGTATTGTATCAGTATATCAATATATCTAATTAATAATGTATTAGTCACAGGGGGCTTTTTCTGTGTGATGATAAATTGAAGATAATACATTATAGTAATAAGTAAAGGATCTGAGGACCTCTGCTACCACTGGTCAAATGTCTTTCTGTGCTTTTGCTTTTCATGAGCTTTTATGAGAACCATATAGCAGGGTTAGGGGCAGTTAGCAGCAGTTCTGTTTCTGTTGTTTGTCATTATGTGACAGTGTTATTTGCTGGCAAACTATTTGCACTGTTTTTACTGGAAGAAACCCAAGCACTTGTACAAACACTACTGACTGCACACCCTGTATATCTGGGTACAAACAGACAGGAACATGAAACAAGCTGATTGAGTTCGATGACATCCGTAAACCTTAAGCTTAGCTCTCAGTTTTTCCTCACTTCGCAGCATAAGTATTGTCATGACACGAAAGCCTTGTGACAAAGCAGGAGGGTGCAGCACACAGCAATCAGTAACTGCAGGGAACTCCTATGGAAAAAAATTTAAGACTACATTGCTTGCACAATATGTAAAAAGGGTTTATGAGACCAAGAATTTACACTTCGGATGTCATCACTGTGCCATCAGAGTGAAACAAATTAATACAAAGTTAAATTCCCTGCACTGCTTTCTGCCTTAAATAGTATTTGCACTCAGTTTCCTGACAATGACGGCTTGGTAACATTTGCAGAACAAACCGAACCTAACAGTCTAGCTGAAAACAGGATGTGTGCATGGAAACAGAAGCAACAGAAGCAACTCTCAATTGAAACACTACTGAATCAATTACACCAATTGAGAAGAGTTTAATTTATTAGAATGTGTGCCTGTGTGTGTTCACAGTATTTAATCTCTTATCCGTTTGAGGCAAAAAAAGAGTTCTGTATTGTGGAGGAGAAGAAGAAATACTTGTCCAATGAAGAGGAGTTTATCAAAGACAGAAAGACAGGGTAACGCAACTTCAAATAAAACCTGATCATTCATATAAATTGCTCATACAAAGTTTCAGTGAGTGAGCGATAGCTAAAGTGCCGCCT